TGAATTTTCGCCCCGGAGGCTCGGGCAGGTCGTGGGCGAGCTCGGACGCGCGAAAAGTCAACGATCCCCGACACTTTGCCGCTGGCGACCAGCCCGGCGAACGATATTGAAAATCTCGCGACGAGGCGCGCGGAGCCGGAAACGCACGAAGGTTGCCTCTGATGCGCAGACGCCGTCGACGTACCCATGGGCGCCGCGCGACACGAACGCGGCGGCCCCACGCGCGCCGGGGGCCGCCGCTCCCGAGGGCCTCTTTTCAAGCGGGCATCACTGGTCCCGCGGATAGCCGTCGCCTCGCCTCGGGGCAGCATGGTCGCCTCCCCAGATACTTGAAGATCCCCTTGCCGCGGCTGAGAGCGCATGGGCCTTGCATACTTGTAGTGCGAGCGCATGGCCGATTCCGCGGCGATGCGCGAAGCGCGCCTGCGCCGCTTCGGGCAGCAAGATTCCGGTGATCGCCCTGCCCCAGAACCAGCGCCAAAAGCGCGGCCTGAAACGCCCGCCGCTCCGCCGCCGAGCCCACCGGCCGACGCCGCCTTGCCGCCCGCGCCGACGCGCGGCCGCGTCGAGATCGTCGCGACATTCGCGCTCGAGGGCGGCGCGTCGCTCTCCGTCGGCCAGGGCGACATCACCAAGTACGAGGGCGGCTGCGTCGTCAACGCGGCGAACCGCGGCTGCCAGGGCGGCGGCGGCGTCGACGGCGCGATCACGCGCGCGGGCGGCCGCGAGCTCGCCGACGCGCGCCGCGCGCTGCCGAGGCCCTTCCCCGGCACGCGGGACCGCTGCGCGACGGGCGACGCCGTGCGCACGGGCCCGTCCGCGGGCCGCGGCTTCGGCTCGCTGCGCGCGCGCTACGTCGTCCACGCGGTCGGGCCCGACTACTCGGAGAAGGGCATGTCCGAGGCCGAGTCCGACGCGCTCCTCGCGGCGACCTACGCCGCGGCGATCCGCGAGGCGGCCCGGTGCGAGGGCGTCACGAGCGTCGCGCTCCCGTTGATCTCCAGCTCCATCTTCCGCGGCCGCCGCGCGCTCGGCGGCCTCCTCGAGGTGTCCGTGCGCGCGCTCGCGGCGGCCCTCGAGTCGTCGCCGCTCGAGGAAGCCGTGCTCGTCGCCCACACGGCCGCGGAGCGCCTCCAGCTCCTCGCGGCGGCGGACGCGGTCCTCGAGGACCGGCCCGCGACGCGCTACCGCGCGACGGCGAAGAAGACGCCGCCCAAGGCGAAACCCGCGGCGGACGTCGACCTCACGGACGACGCCGCTCCTTCGGCGGACGTCGACTTGACGGACGACGTCGACGTCGACTTGACGGGCGACGACTTCGCGGGCGACGACTTCGGGCCTCCGGCGAAGCGGGCGCGCGTCTCGGAGAAGAAAAAGGCGCCGGCCGGGAGCCGCGGGTCGCCCATCGACTTGTCGCAGGGCACGCCGTTCGAGTTCGTCGTCGACCTGTCGTTGGACGACGACGACGGCGGCGGCGGCGACGACGACGTCGTCGGCGGCGAGCCCG